GCTTTATAAATATGATTTATGTATTTTCAATATTTATTTTAATATACAGGGCAGATTTTGCTGCACTGACTAACGTGGAGTGTTCCGTTCATTCATAGTTTTGTCTTTTATGCAGTTCATCTTTTCAACTCAAGATGTCCCTGACTTGAAGTGKTCGGTCATTGTTACCAAATTAGCTCATGAGCCATGGGTTATTTTCAGTGAAACTCCCAGAAAGTAATCATTAGAAGAACATCTACAACTGATTAACGTTTGAAGTCAACCTGATTCAAGATGGCTGCCACGGCCAAGTGACCCGGAAATCCAAGCTGGTTTTTACTCTGTCAATTTTACAGCTGTTGTGCTAAATATTGGTGTCAAGTTRTTCACTATACACGCACTTTAAAATGCTACTCATTGCACAGGAATTCTGCAGGAAAAAAGGGGAAAAAATAGCTGGAGTTTAGTCAGTTTTAATTGTTTGAATGTTTTTCCTGCAAAAATGATCCCCCTTATAAAAAAATATTTATGAAAGGACAAAAAGTTAACCTGGACAAATCTGAGATAAGAAAATAAAATATTAACCTTGCTCCTTACAACGTATGTTGTTATGTCTGACATGAAATATGCAGCTGTGAGTTGATATTTAAACTTTAGAAACGTTTTTTTTTTCTTCACTATCAGACAGGAGGAGAAGCAGATGCATTCCTGTAGGCCGTTGAAAAGGGAGGTGTCTTGATMATTTCCTTGGACAGGCTGTTGAAAGAGATAAGAAAAGCCCGCTGTGCCACGACTTAACCAGCACCAACTGCTGCTGTAGTTTATTTACCTCCTTAAAAGAGAGTAAGGTGTGCACCTCCTATTTCACAACACATATTTTATTGGCTTTTTTTAAAACACAGATTTCTAAAATATATATTTTCAACTTTCAAACCAGGCTTCATGCTGCTTTTATTTTTTTTAAGTGATTTACCTGATTAAAATGTTACAGAAATAAACCAGATCTGGTGTTTTTGACTGCTTTAGGGGGGAAAAAATGAATCACCAGAGTGCTCATTGAGGCTTAGAAACCCTTTTGTTGCTCTTTGGGTCTGAAGGTTTCTCTGACAACAGTGGGTGGAGGAAAGAAAAGGCTCGTGGTTAAAATGTGTTGAGGATTCTTTGGAATTTAGCTGTGTGTGTGTGTGTGTGTGTGTGTGTGTGTGTGTGTGTGTGTGTGTGTGTGTGTGTGTGTGTGTCAATGAGGCACAACCCCCTTTTTGGAAAGAGAGAGAGAGAGAGAAAAAAAAGATCTGTATCCACAACAATGTCTCCAGCCACAGACGGTGACTCATTCTTTAAGGTGGTTGAAAAACTATTTGAATGGTTTAATTTCATTCTACTGATTAAATGATGACGTAAGAATTACTGTTAACTTTATATAGTGAGTTCAATGCTGACGTGTGTGTCCTTTATTTAACTGGACAACAGGTTACACCCATAGGTTTTCCACAGTTTTGGGGGTCTGCAAACTTCAGGGAAATTTCCTCTGCCTCCTTGTGAAGGTGGGGGCCGCATTAGGAGGGTCAGACTGATGAGTTAATAAAACCATATGTGTTTTTATTTATTTATTTATTTATTTTTTAATTTTTACTAAAACATGATTAGAAACAGAAACTTGACTCACATTTTTTTTATTCTGCCTCAAAGTTGACATGGAAATTAAGGCTTCAAAGTTTTGTAAAGTGACAACTTAAAACAAGATACTTCCGGTTGGGACTTTCAAAATAAGATTACTCATTTCCAAAGGTAAATTTCGAAATCAGGTGGTAACAATTTAGACTAGACTTGACTAAACTTTCACTAAATTGTTGAAGCACGTTGTTTCATTATTCCTGTTTTCCTACACACCCTAATCTATGACCTATTCAGTTTACCTATTTAGTAGGGGTGCAACAATACATGTACCCGTACCGAACCGTATCGAACAGTGCTGTATCGAACAATGCAGATTTTAAAAATTTACTTTATCAACTTGTCTTCTGAAGATGCTCTGTGTTRAAGGATCAGTGGATCTGTGTTCGACTACTCCACCTAGGCTGCATTTTTGAGCGCAGATCAACTGAGAAACTTGCTGTTTCAGCAACATTTAATTTAAAAACTGTACTTTTGAGGTTAAACAAATGTTCATGATTAATTTAAATAAATTACAGTTTAAAAGGGGCATGGACATTTCTCTTTTTTGTATTGAAAAAATATCTAACTGTGAGACTAAAATATCGAACCGAACCGAACCGTGAATTTCCTGTATCGTTGCACCCCTAATATTTAGCACAGCTTCAATCACCACAAAAGTCAGGGTTCATAAATTCTGTTCAGACTAGATTACATCTGAGTAAAGTTTATTTTTTCTTATTATAACACAGTACTTTTAATYAGGCCTAAAGTACATTATGAAAAAACTTATTTGGTAAAAAATATATCTATGTTAAGATGAGTTCTTCTATCAGAAGCAGCATACTGGTGACAGTGGGAAGGCAGAACTGCTTTTCAACAAAAATAAACGTCCATCAGAACTGGGCTCAGGATGGGCGGCCATCTGCCTCGACCAGCTGGGCTTTTAGAGGAGAAGAAAGAGACAAATGTTAAAAGATTGGATGGWCAAGCCAACCTTAACTATAGGATTTATTAAAAAGGGAAAGTCTTTTTAAAAAGTAACATTCATAAGCAGAAACTGAAACGCTCACATATTCTACTAGCTCAGGGGTCTGCAACCTGTGGCTCTGGGGCCACATTTGGTCCCTCTGCAGTGGCTCTTTGAAAATGTGACCAAACATAACAGATTTTTTTTGTTTTTATACTCACAACACTAATAAATGTTATGCAAAAATGTGATCAATGTGCTAATACAAAAATATTAATACAAAAAGTAAAACATGTTAGCTCATGCTAACCTGTTTTCTACCTAAATAATCCAACTTCTTTCTATAATCTTTCTCTCAAATCCATCAGCTTTAAACACCAGGACTGCATAATAAGAATTAGAAAAAAATGTCTAGTTTTTATGAAATTCTGTACAAACTCTAGCCAGTATTTTTCTTGTGCATGAATTATGTTTTTTTTATTTTCAGTCTTGAAGTGTCAAAATAATAATAAATAATAAAAACCACAATATATTTTTTTTAGGTTTATGTCCCCTCCACTGGCCATAAAGGTTCACGAAAAGACCTTGAAAAGGCCCACGGTCCACCAGTTGATAATCACAGCTGTAGCTTATTTTGCACATTTCATTGGCGAGCCAGGAGCAGAAATGGCTGCAGACCCCTGTACTAAACCTACAATCTGAGTGAACTGCTCTGTTTTTAATATGCTTTTATTGTTTTGATGTTTTAACGTAGTAATTGTGTAACTAATCAATATGTTGCATSAATTAAGTAGTAGTTCCTTTGTGTTTCTGTTGTTAATGGACACTTTGAATAATTTAGGGCTTTTATTTTGAAATCTCTTTTTGCGCTTCCTTCGATACTCGATGACTCATGAGGCGTTAAACGCGCCGGTCCTGTGTGTGAGTATAAATAACAGCTGGAGCGGGTCCGGACTGGTCTGATACTGGGTGCTCATCTCTTCATCTGCAGCTCGTCATGGAAGTTTTATTAGAGGACACGCGTGGGCAGCGACAATTCAAGTCCCTGCTCCTGGTCTTCCTCTTTGTGTGGAACACAGCAGGTCAGTGTGAGAACAGATGAAGGTGTTTATGATGACGTGATCTGCAGCAGACATCACTTTTTATGTTGCCTTCATGGGGGAAAAAAAGCTTTCTCTGGTGATTGTCTAACTGGAAAATTAAAGTTTAGTMACTTAAAAAAATCAGCTGATGTTTTACTAGAATAAATTTATTAAACATATTACAGACGTGGATAAATTTGTTTGTAATCTTTTATTAGTAAAAGAAAGAAAAGCTCACTGAAATG